TTTTTTTTTTTTTTTTTTTTGGTACCGGGGATTGAACTCGGGCCTTTGCGCTTGCGAGGCAGGTAGAGGAACCACTGAGCCAAATCCTGGCCTATAGCTCAGAATTCTTAACTGGAATCTTAGAGGAAAGAGCTTGAACATGGCAAGCTGACACACGGGTTGGTGTTTGAGTTTAGAGCTGGAAGCCTTGAAGCAGCGTTTCTGGAAGCATGCGAAGCCAGCAGCCAGACCCAGAGCTGGCCAGACAGTGAACGTGAACGTCATAGTGAAAGACGTGGGCACTGATGGAAAGGAAGAGCTAAAGGCAGATGTGGTACCTGTGACTTTGGCAACTGAGAAGCTGGATGGAGTGAGCCACACAAAACCAGGTATTTTGTCTTTAGAACCATAGTAGGAAGTTACAGGATCTTTTTCTTTGGAAACTTTGGAGATTGGGTAGCAGTATCTCAGGCATGAATCACATATTTGTGAATACAGCCCGCCTAGAGGTATGGGGTAGACAAGGTGGCTTTATCTTTTAAAAAAGGATTTGTCCTACTATAAAAAGCAGTAAGAACTTGGTATGGTGACAAGTGCCTGTAATCCCAGCGCTTTAGAAGCCTGCCACAGGAGGATTGTAAGTTTGGATCCCAGCTGGACAACTTAGCACCTATGCAAATAAAAAGATAAAAAGGAAGCCAGGCGTGGTGGCGCACACTCCCAGCACTCAGGAGGCAGAGGCAGGAGGATCACCATGAGTTTGATGCCAGCCTGAACTACAAAGCAAGATCCTATCCCCCGCAAAAAAAAATAATAAAATTTAAAAAAAAATTTTTTTTAAAGGGCCAGGGATGTACTTTTGAGCAGAGGCCCTGGGTTCAAACACCAGAACCACCAAAAATAAATAAATAAAAATTTAAAAAGCAGTAAATTATCCACCCTAGAAAAATACATAGAAAGAATAAACAAAAATCTCTACAAAGCTGCTTCACATACTTCATATCATTTAATCCTCACAACTCCATGAAGTAAATATTAGTATCCTTATTTTATACAGAGGAAACTGATATGCAGAGCACTTGAGCTGCTTGTTCGGGTTTATAGGACTACTGAGTGGTAGGACCAGCAGCCTAATCTAGACCATCCAATTCTGTATGCTTTCTGTCTGTCTTGTCTGCCTGCCTGTCTGCTTTGCTTTGTTTTGCTGTTCAGTTCTGTTCTGTTCTTTCAACAGTGTCTCTCAGTTTCCCAGGCTGGCCTTGAACTTGCAATCCTGCCTCAGCCTCCCAAGTAGCTAGGTTTACAAGGCACGCACCACCATGTCCAGCCTTTCACCCTTAAAAAATTGTTTTACAATCTTTGGGTGTAGAAGTTCTCTTTTACACTTAAATTCATAATAATCCTTATGTGTGAAAATAGCAAAAGCCTAGAGTTCTACGGTCTGATTTTTCTTTTAGGGTATGACTAGAATGCTTCTGCGGTTTCCTAAAATGCCTACTTAATTATTGTATTATATAGTCATAATGTCTAAAGCATTTCAGCATATTTCTTTTAGGTGAAAAGCTGCAGGTATTAAAAGCTAAACTGCAAGAAGCAATGAAACTCCGAAGGTTTGAGGAGCGCCAAAAGCGCCAAGCATTATTTCAATTAGATAACGAAGATGGGTTTGAGGAGGAGGAGGAGGAGGAAGAAGAGGAAGAAATGACAGATGAGTCTGAGGAAGATGGAGAAGAGCAGATAGAGAAAGAAGAGGAAGAAGATGAAGAACTGGAGGAAAAAGAGGAAGAGGAGGAGGAAGGCAATCAGGTTTCTGGCAATTTATATAATTTTTTACAAAGTCATGGGTAGTAAGAAGAAAAATCTTATTTAAATAAGTATAGTAAGCATGTTCAGTTGTAAGAGATTTTTAGGGGCATAATTTTTCTTTCTTTTTTTTCTTTTCCATTTTTGGTACTGGGACTTGAACTCAAGACCTTGTGCTTACCAGACAGGCTGGCACCACTGAGCTAAATCCCCAGCCCACATGGAAGGATTTTCTGCATATATGCCTAAATCTTGGTGCATTTATTTCTGTCAGCACCATGAAATACTTGCAGTTCACAGAACTGTATCCTTCTACCTGTTAGTTTATGTATTTTAATATAATACTGATATTGAAAATGGCTTTGTATTAATAATTACCTGTTTTATTTAGTTTTCTTTATTTAGATTTTAAAAATCAGGCTTAACCTTGGCCAGGTTGACGTCTAAAACAAATTCTCAGATAAGCAGGGGCCTTCTGAAATTAATCTCATTTCTTTGTTAAGGAAGTTATTTGTACAAGGGCCTCTTGCCCTTGCTCCATAGTATTATTTTCTGCCCAGAGCAAACAGGTGATTATATGACTGTTAAGTATAAAAAAAAAAAACTTTCTTGTCTTATATTTGGGCTCACTTGAAAGAGTTGATTAATATTTAATCCTGGGTAAAAAAAAAAAAAAAAAGCAATGTTTGAGCTGGATGGTGTATTATAGTCTGGTTGGTGTGAGATCAAGAGTCATCCTGCAATCCTAGACTAATCATATAACCTCCTGTTCCCTCAGTAAACTGATAATCCAGTTTTTTGTTTTTTTTTTTTATCTTTATTAAATTTATTGGTACAAGGCCGGGCGTAGTGGTGCATGCCTGTCATCCCAGCACTCGGGAGGCTGAGGCAGGAGGATCCCTGTGAGTTCGAGACCAGCCTGGGCTACATAGTGAGTTCCAGGTCAGTCTCAACTACATAGTGAGATCCTGTCTCAAAAAACAAAACAAACAAACAAACAAAAATTATTGGTATATTTTAGGCATACAATACAGTTACATTCATCATTGGGATCTTGTACCTTTACATGACTTATCTTGGTTCTTATTTTTCCCCATTCTCCAGCCCTCCCTTCAGCCCCTCCACCCTTCCCTGTTTACAAAGATATTGTTTCCATGTTTTTCCTTTTACATATTTTTGCTTTCCCTTTTCCCTTTTCCCTTTCCCCTACCCCTCCCACTTCCTCTACTCTTTTAGACTTTTCTTCCTATTACACAATATCAATTATACATTTTTATCTTTATTTATACTTTTACTTTTTCACACCAGAGAAACCATTTGGTATTTACACATATGTGACTTATTAATTTCACTTAAGAATATGGCCTCGGTGTGCATCTACTTAGCTATAAATGTCTAGGTTCTCATTCTTTGTGGCTGAGCAGTACTCCATTTTATTAAAATAAAAAACCACATCTTTATCCAGTCTCCAGTTGATGGGCAATTGGGCTGTTTCCAAATTTTAGCTGTTGTGCCACTATAAACGTGGGTGTACATATGTAACTGTGGTGTGATTCTTTTAATTCTTTTGGGAAGATACTCAGCAGAGGGATGGCTGGGTCAAATGGGACTTCCAATCCTAGTTGTTTGAGGTATCTCCATCTTGATAGGATGGAATCGTGGAGCCAGTCAGCTCAAAGCTGCTATTGTGGCTGCTCTCTTTTGTTAGCAATGAACATGAATCTTCTTCGTCTAAAGAAAGAGAAACATGGGCTGTGGATGTAGCTCAGTGGTTCTGCCGCCTGCTTTGCAAGAGCAAAAAAAAAACCAAAAAAAAAAAAAAAACACACCATTTTCTGGTTGCACCAGTCTGCACTCCCAACAACAACGAAGGGTTCCTTTCTCCCCACAACCCCGCCAGCATTTGTTATTGGTCTTACTTTATAATCTTGTAGCAGTATGGAGACAGTAAAAGGTAAAATAGGTTTGAAAGCTCTAAATATGTTAAAGAAAATTATAATGACGATTGTGGCCATGCTGAGCTTACTTGAAATTTACCTCTTTAGATGTAAGATATGACGTATAACCAAACAGCTGTATGTTAGAATAACAGTGGAATTGCTTTTGAATTTTGTGACTTGTATTATTTTATTTTTGGATGGTGTCATTGGTATAGACTGCAGAATTCCTTGCTAATGAAGATATAGAAAGCAAAGATGAGAAAGAAATGGATAAAGAAAATACTGACGGCAGTAGTGAAGTTGACAAGTCAGTTGACCTTCTCTCTGTTCCCAAGGCTCTCTCATCAGATTCTACCTTACTTCTATTTAAGGACAACTCTTCTAAGATGGGGTAATTTTCTAAGGAAATGTAAAGTTCTCTAGGATTTATTTCTAGTAAGAAGTAGAAACAGATACTTAAACATTTTACTTTCTCATTCTCTAGTTACTTTCCTACTGAAGAAAAATCAGAAACAGATGAAAACTCAGGCAAACAGCCTAGCAAGCTGGGTGAGTAGTGATTCTTATATAGATGTAACTATTCTTTGGTCCTCCAGCATTGGTCCTTAAGGACTACAGCTCCATCAAAATTCCAAGTTTTGGATCTAGTAACTTTCCCTTCTTACGTGCAACAATGGGAGGGGTTATTGACTTAAATATTTCTCTTGATCCATTTTTTGAAAACTCATATGCATTTTCTTTGTGGTGGTCTATGAACATAATGGTCCTTACTGAGTATGTTGATTAAGTGAAACATGAAATATTTCTCTTTGTAGATCAAAGGAAGGTATTTAATTGAATGGATAATGAGAAATGATCATAAGCATTAGGCAGGGTGAAAAAAGAAGGGAATTTTCAGGTATCACTTAACTCAGTAATAAACCCTGATCCTATAATAAATACCATGGTGGTACTGTAACTTACCTTGATGATTTTGAACTCATAAGTTGAGACATTTGCCTGTGTATTTTACCTCTGAGTTTCATCCTCAGCATTTTTTCCCTTAACAAATCTACCTAATTTCTGTAATCATGAACTAAAATGGTGTTTCTCTTTCTTTAGACGAAGAAGATTCATGTTCATTGCTAACGAAAGAGAGCAGCCACAATAGCAGCTTTGAGCTGATTGGCTCCACGATTCCATCCTATCAGCCCTGCAACAGACAAACAGGGCGGGGAACCATTTTTTTCCCTACAGCGGCCGGATTCAGATCTCCTTCCCCTGGGCTATTTCGAGCCAGTTTGGTTAGCTCAGCTTCTAAGGTAAGGTGGTAATAGTTTTTCTAATCTCCCTTTGCTTCCCACATTGCTAAATACAGTGTCGCAGCCAACCAACTCCCACCATCTTGGTACTGAGCTTATGTGTGTGTTCTGCTTTAAAAATCCACCCCCTGAGCTGGGTCTGGTGGTGCACACCTATGATCCCAGCACTCAGGAAGCTGAGGCAGGAGGATTGTAGTAGTTCAAGGCAAGCCTGAACTACATGAAAAGACCCTATGTCCAAAAACAAAAAATCCACCCCCTTTGTGTATTAAAAACAAGCTTTACCTAACTTTCTTACTTTGGAGGTATTTTTCTTTAGGCTTCTCTTGGCTATACATTGTCCTCCTCAATCGCAATTCCCTGAGTAGATAAAACATTGCAGATAGCAACTTCTGTTGTCATGACACAATGAATCTGTAAAATGTTTTGTTATTGTTTGTTTTTGTTTTGGTGCCAGAGTTCAGGGAAACTGTCTGAGCCTTCACTTCCTATAGAGGATTCCCAGGATCTGTATAACGCCTCCCCAGAGCCCAAGACACTTTTCCTAGGAGCAGGAGATGACTTCCAGTTCTGTTTAGAAGATGACACTCAAAGCCAACTGTTGGACGCAGATGGGTAGGTAGTTTTGTGTTTCTGTGGGTGGGATGGTGCTGGGTACTGCTTAATTTTGTTTAAAAATAAAGTGAGCTTCTGTCACTCCATCTGTGCTTTCTCTTCTGAGAAAGAGAAGGTATACGGACCATTATTAGTATTTATATTCTATGAGTTTGAACAAAATCTCTCCAGAAAATAAAATGTAAATAGCTCTTGCTGACTGTCTTTCGGATCTTTTGATCTCTTCTTATTTGTAATACACAGATCTTATAAGGTCATGAAATTTCCCTCTGTGCTTTCTACTCTGTTAGGGTTGTTGGGTAAGATTGAGAATTCACAGGCCAATGGCACATTCCAGTACATAACACCCAGTTCTACTCTAGTATTCTCTGAAGCCAAAAGTTCTCCTTTACACTTTACCTTTTGTTTTTGTTTTCGTTTTAAGCTTGCAAATATAAATTTATTTGGATGGTACATTGACAGGTTTGCATGTGGGGGAAGTCCCTCACAGCACAAGACTATCCAGAGGCTACACGTACACTTTACCTTTTGAATGGTATTTTATTCTTTAACAAAAATGCTCCTGCTCTTTTTAGATTAGCAGGAGGCTAAAGTTTGAATATTCGTTTTCTAGTTTAAGATTCAGCTTCTAACTTTAGCTTTAGAAATTAACTCAGTTTTTCATCCACTCCTTTGTATCTTTCCCAGTGCATTTCTTATACTGGTCATTGTGCTTGCAGGTTCTTAAATGTTAGAAACCACAGGAATCAGTACCAAGCTTTGAAACCTCAGTTACCATTGGCCAGTATGGATGAGAATGCCATGGATGCCAACATGGATGAGCTGTTGGATTTGTGTACTGGAAAGTTTACATCTCAGGCTGAAAAATGTCAATCCAGGAAGAATGACAAGAAAGAGAATATGGAGGAACTTCTGAATCTTTGCTCAGGAAAATTCTCTTCTCAGGGTAAATGCCCTACAGAGAACACCAGGCTTGCCAACAGCAAATCTCTTTAAGTCCGTTGCCTTGTCAAGAAATCCCTTTACTGGGCCAGGGATTTAGCTCAGTGGTGCCGCAGCGCCAAGGCCCCGAGTTCAATCCCTGCTACCAAAAAAAAAAAAAAAGAAAGAAAGAAAGAAATCCTTGTACTTTCTGGTGGAAATAGGGATGTGATACAATCTTACATTTTGTTTTGTTTGTTTTTGTGGTACTGGGGATTGAACCTAGGGCCTTGGCACTGAGCTATATATCCCCGGCTCTTTTTTAGTTTTGAGACAGGGTCTTGCTAAGTTGTTGCTAAATTGCCCAGGCTTGACTCCAATTTGCAGTCCTCTTGCTTCACCCTGAGAGAGTTGGGGGTCTTTGTTTTGTTCATATCTCTCTCCCTGATGCTCAGCACATAGTAACCCTAAATAAGGGTTTGTTCAATGGATGGTGACATTTTTGGTAGTCTTACCTCAGAGCTTTAGTGAACTGGCTTGTCTTTAGGTGGCTGGGAAGAGAAGATAAAGTTGTCATTCTTCAGTGACAAGTCTTTTTGATGTAGATGCCTCCCCTCTGGCTCCGTTGGAATTGAGCAAGCAGGAGAAGGAGAATAGCATGGGCGACCCAATGGAAGAAGCACTTGCTCTTTGTTCAGGCTCTTTCCCAACAGATAGGTGAGTCTCGGATTGGTAGGAATTTTAGAAGACCTGCTCCTTTGATAAAATCTAGGATCAAAAAGAAGAAAAAAATCATAGGATCAGGTTTTCCCTGTTTAGTAATAACTGATCATCTTCTATAGGTTTAATATCTTGTCCGAGAGTCTTACAATGGATTAAATCTCATATTTGCATAGTAATGAAATTATAATACTTTGGTAATGAATAAGATAAAAAAACAATAAGTATGGCCAGGAGTGGTGGTGCACGCCTGTAATCCCAGCACTTGGGAGGCTGAGGCAGGAGTATTGCTGTGAGTTCAAGACCAGCCTGGGCTACATAGTGAGTTCCAGGTCGGTCTCAACTATACAGTGAAACCCTGTCCCAAAAAACCAATAAGTACATGGCAGATCTTTAACATCACTCATCATTGCAGAAATTCAAATAAAATCAAAATGAGATACTGCCTCACACAGTTTAGGATAACTACAGTAAAAAAAAAATTATTAATAATAAGGGCCAGGGAGGATGTAGAGAAACTGGAACCCTTGTGTACTGTTGGTGAGAATGTAAAATGGTGCAGCTGCTATGGAAAACATTCCTCAAAAATTAAAAATGGAATTACCATCTGATCCAGCAATTCTGCTTCTTAGTATAGACTCAAAACAAGTGAAAGCAAGGACTTAAATAGGTATTTGTGTACCCATATTCATATTCAGAACAGCGCTATTCATAATACCCAGAGTGTAGAAGCAGTTCAAGAGTATGTCAACAGATTTTTTTTTTTTTTTTTTCTGGTATGGAGGATCAAACTCAGGACCTTGAGTTTGTGAGGCAGGCATGGTTCCACTGAGCTAAATCCCTGGACCTGACAGATTAATTTTTTTTAAGTGTGTGTGTGTATATGAATACACACACACATAACGATATATAGCCAGCCTTAAAAAGGAAGGAAATTTTAACACACACCTCAACATGGATGAACTTTGAGGACGTTATGCTGAGAACCATAAGCTAATCACAAAAAGACAAATACTATTATGACTGTACTTGTATAAGGTACTTAGAATAGTTAAATTCATTGAAAAAGAATGGTAGTTGCCAGTCTGGAGGTAGAGATGAATGGAAAATTATTTGAGTACAAGAGTTTGAATTTTATATGACGAAAAGAGTTTTGGATATTTCTTTTACAACAGTGTGAATGTACTTAACATGACTGAACTGTTTACTTAAAAATGGGTAAGATGGGCTGGAGATTTAGCTCAGTGGTTCCACCACCTGCCTTGTAAGCCCAAGGACCCAAGTTTGATCTCTGGTACCAAAAAAAAAAAAAAAAGGTAAGGTGATAAACTTACTGTTATATGTATTTTATTGCAAAACTTTTTCTCTTCCTGTACTAGGGATTGAACTCAAGGCCTTTACACTGAGCTATATCCTCAGTGTTTTTTTGGTACCAGGGATCAAACTCGGAACTTTGCACTTGTGAAGCAGGCAGTGGCAATGAGCTAAATCCCCAGCCCTCCTCAGCCTTTTTAAAAAAATGATCTTGAGACAAGATCTTGCTGAGTTACCTAGGCTGGACTCAGACTTAGAATCCTCCTGCATTGACCTTGCAGAGTGCTGGGATTACAGGCATACCATCATGCCAGATAAAATAATTTTTTTTAAAGGCAAAGCAGCTGGACATGGTGAGACATGCCTATAATCTCAGTTCTCTGGGCGGCTGAGTCAGGAGAATTAAATTTGTGCCTCGCTTGAGCAACTTTGTGAGACCCTATCTCAAAATAAGAAAAATAAAAAGGGCTGGGGATGCAGCTCAGTGTAAAGGTTCTGAGTTTAATTCTCAGCTGTACCGCCCCTCAACCGCTTTCAAGGCAAAATATCTCTTAATTCTTGAATAAGTTACTCGTATTAATAAATCACTTTAAATTCTCGATTTAGCTGGCTGTTTTCAACAATTTATTTATTGATCCATTGATTTGCAGGGAGGAAGAAGGTGAAGAGGAGGAATTTGGAGACTTTCGGCTTGTCTCACATAACAATGAGTTTGACAGGGATGAGGTGAATATGAAGGGAACATGACTCTGTGTATTGCTGCCCATGGCTCTTTTTGTTGACTGAGTTCTTGAGATTTCTAAGATCGGCATCTTATCAAAAACAGTAGCTTATGCCAGGCATGGTACACACCTGCAGTCCCAGCATCCAGGGGTGGAGGGAGGAGGATTGCTACAAGTTCAAGGCCAGCCTGGGCTACATAGTGAGATCTTGCCTCAGAAAAACAAAAAAGAAACAAAAAGTCTATAAAGAGCTGTGTGGGCAGAGGTTTATGAATCTTCTCTTAGGGTGTGTGTGTGTGTGTGTGTGTGTGTGTGTGTGCACGCACCTTGTCAGTTGCACCCAGGACCTTGTGCATATGAGGCAAACGCTCTACCAGTGGACTATATATACACAGCCCTTAACTTTTTCTTCTGTTTGTTTTAACAGGAAAAAGAACAAAAAACTATGGGAGTGTTAGTCTCCTAAGAGTTCTATTTTATTTGAGGACATGTTTTAATTTGCTTAACTTTGATACTGTGACTTTTACAGGATGAACACACTGACTCTGGTAATGAAAATATGGCAATGGAAGATGATGAAGATGATGATGAAGAACTCCTAAAGCAATCTGAAAAGCTGAAAAGGCAAATGTAGGTATTTCCTTCATTTCTTCAACTACTAGAAATCTCCCCTAATTCTTAAGTTGAAGCTTATCACTTTATTATCTATTTTCTAGATTAAACAAAATCCTTGTTCTGCATGGAATCTCTTGAGTATTCAAATATGGTGGTCAGTGTTCCTTAGGTCATATCTACACTAAAACTTCTACTTCCTTCCAGAACCAGTGACATTGCTTGTGCTCTTCATAGGCCCTGGGTATTCTCTTTACTTTTAGGTGTAGTCTTGATATTTGAGGTGCTGGATGCATATAATGTAACCGAACATCAAAAGAACTAACTTACACTTCTAGAGCCTGAGGATGTCAAGTAGAGAACTAAAGTTCCCTGGAATTTTCTGTCCTATGAATTGCTGTTCTTCTATGTTTTACTCATTCTAGTCTCAAACAAATTACTGAGTTTTGTTTTGTTTTGTTTTTTGTACCAAGGATCGAACTAGGGCCTTTGTACTTGTGAAGCAGGTGCCGGAACCACTGAGCTAAATCCCTGGCCTTCGAGTTTATTTTTTAATATTGATTGTTCTGATCAGGAAAGTAAGACGTTTATTTTAGAATATTTAATAGAATACAGAGAGCGTGTGGGTATAATTCAGTTAGAGCACTTGCCTACCTTGAGCAAGGCCCTGGGTTCATACTCAGCGCTGCAAAAAATAAATAATCCAGAAATATATAAATAAAAACATCTCATGTCCACTGTCCAGAGTATATATGAAAGTGTCCATGATGATTATTTCTTAACATATCTATGCATATACTTATATATAGTTGAGATTAATTTATATATTTATAAGTATAAATTTGCATCTTGCTTTTTTCCTCACTTAGCATATCTATAAGTATTTTCCTATGATGTTAAAAAAGTTTCACAAACATAATTCTAATAGGTATTTAATGTTATAGTGTATGAATGACTTTTAGAATTCACATATTGGACATCATATTGATCCCTATTAGAAGTCTCTTGTTGCTTTGAGCCCAGCATTGCATTCTGTTAAGATCCATTTGGAGTTCTAATTTGTCATCTGTCAAATCAAATGTCTCATACAGCTTTAGGATATCCATAGATTTTTCTAAGGTAGTGGTTCTTAACTGTCATTTAACTGCAGACCTCTTTGTTCAAATGAAAGTCATAAAGACAGCTAAAAGTTGAACTGCTCAAAAAGGATGGTGGGAAGATTGGGAAACTTAGTGACTGGTAGTCCCAGAAAGAATTTCCCAAGAGCCCTTGGATTTAGAGGAATTCAGATTTAAAAACATAGTATAGGGCCAGGAGTTAGCTAAGTGGCACTGCGCCTGCCTTGCAAATGCAAGATTCAATCCCCCATACTGCAAAAACAAAAACAAAACAAAAAACACAAAACAACCATACAGTATAGATGGTAGAAAATAGGGAACTAGTAGCTAGGCATGGTAGCGCATGCCTGTAATCCCAGTTCTTGGGGGGTTGAGGCAGGAGGATTGTGGAGAGTTCAAGGCTAGTCTGGGCTACATAGTGAGTTCAAGACCACCCTGAGGGCCAGGAATTTAGCTCAGTGGTGCCACTGCCTGCCTCGCAAGCACAAGGTCCTGAGTTCGATCCCTGGTACCAAAAAAAAAAAGACCACCATGAACTATATAGCAAGACCCCATCTCAAAAAACAACAAAAAAAGAGAAAGTAACTTGTGGTTTTGATTTCCAGGAGCTCTGAGCCTCAATCTTGCCTCTAATTTGGAGGTCAAGATGCAGTGAGCTGTAAGACAATCCCTGAACTACTGCTATAAGAAGTCTATATCCTTATAATATCATACTATCTTTTAAATGCTGGTGTGCTTAGTTTAAGGTATTCTGGCATTCCTAAGGTATTCCTAAATATAGGAGAGATATTAAGGGTTTTCTGGCTTTAGGATTACCCAGCCTAGAATTAATCCAGCTCTGCTACAGCCTAGCTGTGTGTGACTTTGAATAAATTGTTTAATCTCACTGTGCCTCAAGTGATCCCTATACCAACATCTCCAGTTTCTTGCAGTATTAGTGACATTTCTAGTGTCCTTATGTCCTTGCTATTTCTTTTTTTTCCCCTTGAACTTGTTGGCAGTCATCCTTCAGCCTCCTAAGTGCTGAGGTTATAGGTGTGAACCACCATTCCTGGCTTTATCCTGGTTATTTCTTTATCAATTATAAAATGAAGGAAAAATAGTATCTACTCTTAAAGATAATGTGGTAATGCCAGTAAAGTTATTGGCTCATGGTCCAAATTAAGTGATCAATTTTTAAATATTGCTTAAAAATTATATATTATCAAAATGTATTATACACTTCATTGTTGTATTATAACTGAACATGCTGTTCTCATTGTATCCACATTCTCTGTATGCAGTCATTGTTATGTCTTCATCTTTGTTTTTTAGTACGGGGGATTGAACTCAGGACCTTGCACTTGTGAGGCAGGTGCGGTGCCACTGAGCTAAATGCCCGGCCCCATTGTTACGTCCTCTAATCCTCAAAGTTGCTTTCCAGGAGATTGAAGAAATACCTGGAGGATGAAGCAGAGGTGTCCGGAAGTGACATGGGAAGTGAAGACGAGTATGATGGGGAAGAGATTGACGAATATGAAGAGGATGTAATTGATGAAGTTCTTCCTTCTGATGAGGAACTGCAGAGTCAGATCAAGAAAATACACATGTGAGTATCAGTGAGCCCATCTGAGTGACAGGGTGCATCGCGAGGCACAACCATAACCAGTCAGAATGGTCCTGCTATTGAATGCCTCATTTCTCCTCTTGCAGGAAAACCATGTTGGATGATGATAAGCGACAGCTACGCTTATACCAGGAGAGGTACCTTGCCGATGGGGATCTGCACAGCGATGGCCCGGGGCGAATGAGGAAATTCCGATGGAAAAACATAGGTATTTCAGTTGCTGTCTTTAGAAGTAAAATTCCCATAACAGGTTTGTCCAGTTTCAAATGGCAAATGGCGATCAAAACTGTAATAGACTTGGTGAAGGACCTCGATGTAACCATTGTTTCCTGTTAGTAGATGGGAATTATGTTAGTGTACACTAAATAAGAGTTTATTTTGTCTGAAAAGTCACCCTTTCCTATGGGGACTGTAGGATGCAGAAAGCCTTAACTCTTTACTTTAGATGATGCTTCCCAGATGGACTTATTCCACCGAGACTCTGATGATGATCAGATTGAAGAACAGCTTGATGAGACAGAAGCCAGATGGAGGAAGGAGCGAATTGAACGGGAGCAGTGGCTTCGGGACCAGGTAGAAAGTCTGCAAGAAGTCAGGGCATGGTGCCACACACCTGTAATCCCAGCATTTGGGAGGCTGAGGCAGGAGGATCACTGCAAATTTCAGCCCAGCCTGGGCTACATAGTGAGTTTAAGGCCAGCCTGAGCTATGCAGCAAGACTCTATCTCAAAAAAATAAGTCAACAAGAGAATTGCTTATTCTGACCCCATTTTATGAGGATGAGAGGACCTAGTCATAGAGATTGTCGTGGTAGTTTCAAAAGTTTTGGCAACCTTTTTATTCCTTGAGGTTTTTTTGTTTGTTTGTTTTTTGTTTTGTTTTGCTTTTTTTTTGCATTGGAAGTGTATCTTGGGTAATTTTTTTCATGTTTGTTTGTCCAAAATTTTTTTTTTTTTTTTTCCAAAATTTTTTTTTTTTTTTTTTTTTTTTAGGTACTAGGGATTGAACTCAGGACCTTGTGCATTCCAAGCAAGCACTGTACCACAGAGCTATATCCCCAGGTCCTTTTAATTTGTTTATTTTGAGATAGTCTCACTAAATTGCCCAGGCTGGCCTCGAATTTTTACCACCTGAGCCGCTGGGATTATAGGTGTACACCACTTTGCCTGGCTTCAAGTCTTTTGGAGGGGAGGGGCGTTGCAAAAATGAAAACATGATATCCCAGCAACCTAGCTTTACAATCCAAGCTGGGCCAACTGTTAGGGAATCTGTGGACTTTTCTGTTCAAGCTGTATGGTTTTTATTTTCAGGCACAGCAGGGGAAGGTTACAGCTGAAGAAGAAGAAATTGGCGAAGACAGTCAGTTCATGATGCTAGCTAAGAAAGTTACAGCCAAAGCACTGCAGAAGAGTGGTGAGCTCTTGTTTCCCTCCAGATGTAACCCCTTAGGTTGTTAGTGTTGGGGCCTTGGAGGTGACTTTAACCTTCAGGCGGTATTGAAGCTTGGCCATACCCTGGTGTCTAATACTGTCTTAAAATAAGCTCTGCAGTGGTGAGAACAGACACTATGCTCAGTCTTGGTCTACTGGGTAGTAGAAGTACTTGGGCGTTTCTTTGGCTGATTTTATCTTCCTGTTCGGAGGCTTTCTGGATTCGCGATTAAATTGCCCCAGTGATATATCTAAGTGTATTTGTAGCCAGGTATATGTAACTTCAAAATGAAGCTTTTAAACACTATTCTATATTCCTACCAAGTTTTATTTTTTCTTAAATTATTCCTGTTAGTGATTAATTCATAAGTTCAACTTGGATTGTCTGCCTGCTTAGAAACACTCTAGAAGACACAATTAAAAATATAGAGTTCCGGCCGGGCATGGTGGCGCACGCCTGTAATCCCAGCACTCGGGAGGCTGAGGCAGGAGGATCTGTGAGTTCGAGACCAGCCTGGTTTTCTCTAGCCAACCGCCCTATGGTTATCCAGGAATCAAAGGCTCTACTCAGTAACCCTTTTGAAACTATCAGACCCGGAACCACTCACCAGGTTCATTGGGACCTTGGCTGCCTGACATGTGACACACGATCTGCAGGGGTTTTGTTTTTGGGATCCTTTTTAGTGTTTTTCTTTGTTGTTGTCGGTGGTGGTGGTGTTTTTTGCTAGCCAACCGCCCTATGGTTATCCAGGAATCAAAGGCTCTACTCAGTAACCCTTTTGAAACTATCAGACCCGGAACCACTCACCAGGTTCATTGGGACCTTGGCTGCCTGACATGTGACACACGATCTGCAGGGGTTTTGTTTTTGGGATCCTTTTTAGTGTTTTTCTTTGTTGTTGTCGGTGGTGGTGGTGTTTTTTGGTACTTGGATTAAATTCAGGGCCTTTGCACTAAGCTACATCTGCTGCCCTTTTTTATTTTGAGACAGGGTCTCACTAAGTTGTCTAGGCTGGGCTCAGACTTGTAATACTCATCTGTGCCACCATGCCTGGGTATGGTCTGCAGATTATAAAGACCCACATCAAGCTAAGGGAATAGACTGCCACTGTGGGAGGGAAGTAGCCACGGGAAATGAGACGAGATAGCAAAAGAACCTGCTGTTTCTGTTCTACTCAGTAGAATGAGAATATGTCTCCTCAGTACCTGGGGAAGGAAAGGAGGGACTGATTTTTCATTCTTTGGGATTTGATAGCACATAACTCTTTTGCCCTTTAGCTGAAGACAGGCTCACTGCTAAACCAGCCCAAAACTGTGCTTCAGAAACTGGCTACACTCTCTGACCTCAACCCCAGTGCACCCCGAAACTCAAGAAATTTTGTCTTTCATACACTTTCTCCTGTCAAGGCTGAGGCAGCAAAGGAATCATCTAAACCTCAGGTATGGAATTTGAGAACTGATATAATACCTCCCAAAACAGATTTTTTTTTTTTTTTTTTTTTAGATGCAAGGTGGTCCTCCTGCCTCAGGCATGTGCCACTATGACTGGCCCAAACAGAATCTTATTTCTTTTAATTAAAAGACAAAAGTTATGATCTAATACTTATGCTACAGTGTTGCAATCCTCCCCACTTATATACAGCGGATTTACTCTCCCTGGAAGATAATAAGCCTGGAAAGTTTATATTTCTTGGTTGCTACTATTGTTATTTTTCTGTTGTTACCTGTCCATGATTTAACTCCCTATTGCTTAAGAGCTCATTGAAAATGATACCTGTAGGAGGGTCTTGCGCTGGCTCTGACTCCCTTTCTGCTCTCCAGGTGAGGAGAAGGGGACCATCATTAGTGACATCCCCTTCCCCTAAGCGCCTCAAGATGGGTGATAGCAGTCCGAGGTCAAAGCGAAGCATCTTTAGATACTTGGAAAGCTAACCCCCTCAAGGACGCCAGCGTCACTGCCAAGACCACTCAGCAACACAGAAATTGGCACTGATGGCTTGAACTGTTACTCGTGCTGATGACCTCTCCTTCCTTCGTGATCAGTGCATTAAGACTGCAGAGATTCCAGTTATTTCTACTGCTCAACTCTGGCTATCTTCCTTTCCTAGTATTTCCTGGCTTCGCCACTAATCGTAATTCTGCAGTTTCCAACATCAACTTACAGAATGTGCGAGTGAAGTCTCATGCACCTCGTTAAACATTTGACATTTTATCCTAGCAGCTTCCTGGGTTTACACTGCTTTGTGGTAGAGGTGGTTGGGAAAGGAGGAAGCGGAGGAGGAGGAGGAGGGATGAAAGTGTGGCTTTACAGAAAGTGGTGAAAGTCAGTGTCAGAATGACTCCTTCATACCTACCATCACTCCCCACTTTTCCTGAACTACCACAAGGCTCCCAGCATGTTAGATTCCCCACCCACTGAACATCACCGCTGCTTTGGAGAAGCATTCCATGTGAATATACTTTGAGTGTGAGGAGCTCGACCTGCGAAGTTGGATGGGATTGTGTCCATTTTTTATTAAAAGACAGGGAACAGGGCCAGGGATTTAGCTCAGGGGCGCCTTGTCTACCTTGCAAGCACAAGGTCCTGAGTTCAATCCCGGATCAAAAAATAAAAATAAAAAAGACGGGGAACACCAATTTAAGTGATGAAATGAGGATGCAGTTTTTCCTAACACTCAAGATGCTGACTTTGATAACTCAACCTTGTAAATTTGTAATCTTGCGATGGGAAAAGTGTGTATAAAGATGTTTTGATATGTATGTAGTTTTTCACTAAATCTCAGTGGCTTAAAAGCAAGATTTGCTGTCTGGTTGGAATACTCACTGTCAGGTGCGTGTCTGTCTGATGTTAAGCATTTCAGTTTCAAGGTGTCACCCCCAGGAAATCTGTCTGCGTCTGGTTGAGATGGTGCTGCAGTTGTCCCCTTCCTGGCTTCTCAGTCTCTGTGAATTGATCCAACCTATTTACCTAATGGTCTGGGCTCCGTGCACAGGGGGAGAGTTTAATGAATGCTGCTTGTTTCAGCCCTTTGTGTGGCATTTTCTCTTTAGCTGCCTTTGAGTGTATTTATAGCTGTGGGTCCACGGTGAAGGCTACTGCCCTTCCCTTTGATCTCTCTAAACAGTGCCCACAGGTAGGCAGCCCTTGCTGGGCTAAAGAGAGCTGGGAAAAAGGACTAGAAACTTCTCCCCTTTTGCCTTTCTACATACCTCTTTTTTTTTTTTTTCGGGTGGGAGAGATGACGTAGAGGGTTGGAATTGACCCACGGAGAATAAGATCAGGGCCTGAGAAGTCTGGGAAGCTAATGGTTTATGTTTGAGGCTCCAGAAGAATTTCTCTTTGGAGAAAGAAAAGTAGTACTAAACTCTAGGTCACTTTTCCTCATGCCAGAACAGCGGCCGCAAACCAGCTAAGCCTTCACCCGGTAACAGGACTGAAATATGGGGGGTTTCAACATGATCCACGTGCACTTGGCCCACAGCACGGGCCCATCCGCACCGTCTATGTCTTCATGAGATTGGAGCCCCAGGGCCTGCCACTGTCTCCTGGTAGGACTCGGCTCCAGCAGCTTGGAAATTACATACTGGGAGGCATAAGAGCCTAGGAGTCTGGGAGATGAGGGTGCTCAGTGTCAGTTTTGTCTCCTTGTTCCGCACATGGGTAGCGACAAGTGGTACTGACCTCGTTAAAACAAGTCTCCTCTTATTCCGTTCATTTAGTCCACACACCATAGGGTCTCTTCTATAAAGCCTCAGCTTAAATTCACCAAAACCGGGCCAGAGATTTAGCTCAGTGGCACCACTCCTACCACTCAAGTGCAAGGTCTGAGTTCAATCTTCGGTACCGTGAAAAATTAAAAGTGAACAAATAACAAATTCACCAAAGCCATGGAGCCAGTTTCACTGTTCGGGTCTCTGTGGGATCCCTCATTTCAATTGCTTCTCTACAAACTTCTCTCTACTTTGAGAATTTCTAATTCAGGCTGGAAAACTTTGTAATACATATTTTTGGTTTTTGTCGCCTAGTCTTCTATCTGGTAATTCTTGGGGCTTTTTCATCTTGACAACTTGATGGTATTATTCTTGAGCCAGTATTTGTCTTACACCTTTTTATCCTCATGGCCTGACACAGACTGGAATGTAATAGTGCCTAAAAAGATGGAATAAATGAGTCTCTGTTTATAGCTACAAAATTAGGATCCTAATTATGCCTCTCAGAGTTTCTGTGAGCATTAAGTTGGGAAATGTGTGTGAATGTACCGTATTAAGTGCTACTCTGTGAACATTAAAAATTGCCAGTGTCACATTTGCATCATATTTTATGGACCAAAAGGCCATTGTCTCACAGACGTTGCACATCTCACAGATTACGCCTGTAATCTCAGGCTCTAGAGCAGTGATTGAGGACCCAAACTGCAACCCAAAACCCACCTATTAATTACAAAGTGCCAATACTGCAATTAAACTTGAATACTGAGGCTTTAGTTTAGAAGAAACAACTGTTACTGCATGCTTGGCTGCTGGGGCAACTTGGCTTGCATGCTGAAAGGGCTCTGTGTCTGCTGTGGCACACGTGCTATCGGTTGGCCATCACCACTCTGGAGGCTGAGGCAGCAGGGTTGCCAGCTGGGCCTCAAACTCATGGTGATCCTCCCACCTCAGCCTCCCTCGTGCTGGGATTACAGGTTTGTGGCATCGTGCCCGGTGTAAACTTAATATCTTCAAAAATGTGATCTTCTTTCCCTAAAAGCCTCCTCTTCTGTTTTCCCATTTCAGTAAGTTACCTTCATGTGTACCCCTCGTCATTCAAGGCAGAAACTGAAAGGGCGTTCTTGACACCTCCTTCCTTCCGTAGTCAAGACAATTTCTCAAGTCCTGGCAACTCTTCCAAAGTGCACCTTGAATCACCTCACTTATTTTAGCTCTCTAGCCAGAACTATACTCCCTGTTTCCATAATTTCTTTTCAAGGTACTGCGGTAGCCTTCAGATCAGATGTTTCTACTTCTGTTTTTGCTTCCCTTGTTTAAATCCAACTGCGAATCAGCGAGAGGATGACCTTTATGTAAACAGATTCAGAAGATGCACTCCTCTACGTAGAACCTTTTCCTAGCGCTGGGGGCATAAATTAGTGGTAGGCTTAGGATACACAAAGCCCTAGGTTCAGTCCCTAGCACCCAAAACAAACCTTTTAATATCTTCCGGCACTGTCAGAATGAAGCTCGAACTCCTTATGTTCTACAAGGGCCTGCATGGTAATACTTGCTTCCTAACCTCAGGTCCACTCTTTCGTTCAGCCCGAGGACCTTCTAAAGTGCCCTTCCCATTTTCTGGACTGCCTTCGCCTCCAACCTCCTTGTCTGGCTAGTGTATAATTCTCAAGGTGTTGGTTTAACTTTCTCAGAGACACTTCCTCTCACTTGTAATTAGATAACCTCTATTAATCTTTCCTACTCTTAGATTTTTTTTTTTTTCTTTTTTGAGACAGGGTCTCACTGTGTAATTGAGGCCGTCCTCAAACTTGAGATCTATTATGGTTTGCCACCTTAATATTGGTTGAGATCTATTTTCTGTATTAGACCATAAATTGCTTGAAAATAGAGATCATGGCCTTTTTTTTTTTTTAAGTGAATGATTTAGATAGCACTGTGCCTGGCACATAAAATTATTCAACAAATATGTTTTTTAATAATCCGTGTTGGAAGATCTGGAAAAGCTAATGGCAAAAAGCTTGGAGCTGAATTGCTTATAAAGCTTTGTGGTATAGGATGGAATAGAGCTGATTGCTGTGTGAGACCTTAAGTCCTTGTTTTCTCTGCAACTTACACGTTAGCTAAGTCATTCTCCCTGAACTTTTTTCCTCAACTCAAAAGTGTTCCATGTGAAACGATTTGGTTTAGCTCACAGGCCTATGGTTAAGATCACAGGTCCAGTGTAACATGAAGTGATTATGTGTGTGTAAGGCTAACCCAATGCAGGCTGAGGAAGGGGTGGTGTCGATGCCTGAGGACATGCTCCCTGTGTGAAAAGGAGAGGCTGAGCCTCAGCAAAGCTCCCCAGTCCACCCCCAGCAGCCAGCAGCGGCTCATCTTCTAGGACTTGTGACAGTGGTGGCAATGGAGGGCTGCAGGTGTGCCTGGACTCTAGGCAGTGGGGGAAATAGGTATGGCTTTGTGTATGGCTGGGGTCAACCTCAGATTTTTACCTTTTGAGCCAGAGGTGCCTGATCTTTCTGTCCCTTAGTTGTATAGCCTATTGGTCTGTACTGTCTTTCCTGTCACCTCTTTCTGTGTTCCCTTCTCTCACCTTAAAGGTTTTTCATTTTCAGTTTATTGATTTAGTTCTTCCCTGTGGTGGGATACATAATGGGAAGAAGGAGTTTGAAGTAGCTACCGCCTAAGGGTGATTGGAGGAAGCTGTGGGGCTGGATACCTGGGTTCTTTTGTGTTGAGGGAACCGCATTCTTTGGTATTTTTGATGGCTGATGTGTAGGAGGCAGGGGTGAAGTAGCCCCCAGTTCCAGCCTGGAGAATCACTGGGCCCAGCCCAAGGGATGGGAAGTGCCGGGGCAGGGTTGGGAGTGAGCTATGGTTTGGGGTTTTCAGCCCCCTCTCTTTTTTCTCTGAGGCTGAGTGGAAGGAGGAAAAGAAAAATCTGACTGCCCACCCCTCTCTTTGTTTGTCTTGTCTAATTTAACTTACGTTATTTATCAAAAAGACAGGTTATTTGGAAAGCCAGATGGACCCAGGCAAAAATCATCTGGGTTTTCCAAACGTGAAAAATTAGGTTCTAGGAGCCCAGGAGGGAAGGGAAGGGGCGTGTGTGTGTGTGTGTGTGTGTGTGTGTGTGTGTGTGTGTGCAGGCCAGGAGTATTGAGTGAATTTCTCTGTAGTCAGGCCCAGAAATTATTCCATAACATCTAAACATCCCTTCTTCCCCACTTTCCTTTGAGTTCTTTATGGTTAGAATCTAAACAAGAAAACAAAAATCTTCATATTGGTGGTTGGGTTGCTGTGAAAGTTCAAGTAGGTCGAAGATGAGAATGGGTCGGGGTCATAGTAGAACAGCAGCTGACATCTTGCTGTGTCTCTCTAGGTGCTGTGCTCTTCCACAGACCAGGTAAGTGAGGGAGAAGTACAGGGTACCGAGAGGTGTCTAGAGCAGAAACCTCCTCTTGCTTGTCCCTTCATTGTTCCTGTCTTAAAACAACTGCCACAGATCCAGAAATGAGACAGTAGGAAAGAACTTACCCTCGTAACTTTCTGGTAACCAGATAGCTAAAGAAGACTACGGATTAAGGATTGTCTATCCACTGACTATTCAGAAAAGGAGGGCCCACCAGTTCTGTTGCTACAACTAGGAATTTTAAAGCCTGTGATTCTGTTACCTTCAGTGGCAGCATTATTTGGAATTAATTA